CTCAAAACGATGAAAGGTTCACTTATGCATGGCCACAGACGGAAAATCGGAGCAAAGTCCTGGAAAATGTGTTTGCATTTTTGTGTATTCAAGTGTTTGAATGCGTAATTTTGTCGAAGAATACAATCATGTCATTCCGTAGCCTGCGAAAACGTTGAAATTCTTATTTCCAAGACAACTTCACAAGTTGAAGACATCACCCCCACGAATTCAGGATTTCCACACTGTTAGAAAAATGACCGTTAACGGTAATACCGGCGTTTCAGTGGCCGGTCGGCACGTGAAAAGAAACACCGTTACACCGTTTTTATTCCAATTTAACACCAGAAATCCGTAAAACATCTGATAAAAACGGCGAAACAGTTTATTTTCACGGAGCGACCGGCCACTAGGATGCCGGTGGGACCGTTTTTTCACCGTTTTTCTAACAGTGCAGCAGATCGAAAAAAATCCCTAGCAATTAACTATCACGAATTCAAATTGGTATAACAGTTTATCTAACTGCGGTATGACACAAATATCAAGGAATAGCCTTCAGAAGGCAGCAAAACCTCTAAGTTTGTAGGCTGTGTGTTTTCCAGCCGAACATTGGCCCTCTCATTCGGTACAGGCCACTCGAGAATTATACTAGGGCAGCAGTGTCTTGACATGAACATGTCTGACTCCTGGCCTTGTCTCGGTGGAAACGCATAAAAAATCCAGAACTTGAGGGTACAACCGAGAAACCCTCAGAAACTTCGACAGCTCGGTCGATTTTTTGAGGAAGACTTTTACAACGAAAAAACATCGGAAGACTAGCACAATGGAAGACTAGCACAATGGAAGACTAGCACAATGGAAGACTCGCACAACGGAAGACTCGCTCAACGGAAGACTAGCACAACGGAAGACTCGCACAATGGAAGACTCGCACAACGTAAGACTCGCACAACTGAAGACTAGCACAATGGAAGACTCGCACAACGGAAGACTCGCTCAACGGAAGACTAGCACACGGAAGACTCGCACAATGGAAGACTCGCACAACGGAAGACTCGCACAACGGAAGACTCGCACAACGGAAGACTCGCACAACGGAAGACTCGCACAACGGAAGACTCGTACAACGGAAGACTCGCACAACGGAAGACTCGTGCAAAGGAAGACTCGTGCAAAGCAAGACTCGTGCAAAGGAAGACTCGTGCAAAGGAAGACTCGTGCAAAGGAAGACTCGTGCAAAGGAAGACTCTTGCAACGGAAGACTCGTGCAACACAAGACTCGTGCAACGGAAGACTCTCGATCGCAACAAACTTGAAAAACATTTTCCTATTCAAAAATTTGCCCGCATCGTTGGAAATGGCTTTAAAAATCAGTGTTAAATGTAAGTGTCAAATTATTCCAGAGTTTTTTACTAGATTGATGGATCATGCTTAGCTGCTTATAAATTCTGTAGACAACTTTTCCATAAAATTTCGAAAGTTTGGAAATAATTGAAGTGGCAACATCTTTTGTGAGTAATTGTACGTCTTATCAAATAAATATTCATATCTCTTCACCGTCAAGGGGATAAAATTTTCATCTATGAATATATCTAATCTCGCAAATCTCAGCTGAAAAATGTAATCTAATAAAGCTTATAAAGCTATGATCACATAATGTATGAATTTCTAGGAATGGCTTTGCTTTTATTGTTTTAGAGATTGATTTTCGATGCGCTGCGCAATTGAGGTCCTAGTAAGAAAAGATTGAATTCTTAGGACCATCTTACCAACTAACCCAAACAATGAGTCACTTTTTACCACATTTGCCAGTTCGCTAATGCCATGAAAATATACAAATTAAAATAAAATTCAACTTATTATTCGAATTTAAAAAAAAAGCTTTGAGCTGAAAGTGAATTAACACTTATATTGCTGTAGATTTGCTGAATTTGCTCGGGAGATGTCGGCTTTCAGGCTTGTGTAATTTTTTTATGTGCGTATAGTTCTCGCCCACAAATGAGGAAAACCCTAAATTATTGCAAGAAATTATTGAATAAATATAACGATGTACAAAAAATATGTTACAATAAACAAATCACATTGAAACTTGACGGTAAAATAAGAACTTGTAACTGAAAAAATAAAAATGATTGAAAGAAGTTCAGCAATAGGAGAGGAGTCACTAGTGAAATGGAATGACACAGTGGAGAATATGGATAATGATGGAGTGAAAGGACAGGCACTAATTAGTCTTCCACATGTGCATCTGGAGCCTTGAAATCAAGGCCTTTCAGCTAGTCTGGCGTATCCGGGTCATTCTATGAATTATTTATAAAGAATTTGATTGTATGTAGGTCTTCGTAAAGGATCAGGTGGGACAATTAATTGATTGCTGAGCCTGACTTTGATGCTTGAAGCTAACTACGTCAAAGACCATGCAAGCGCTGATTGGTTTGTTATAAACGCGTATAGAAAATAAAAATTCACAGAGAATTATGTCTTCTTTTTATGGGACTGTTTTTAGTTTGATACTTTTGATTGGTTTAATTTCGACTTGTCTAGTTGCTCTTCATATTGCTATTCATGTTCAGCTGAATTGACAGATAGCAGTTGAGATTAATTAAAAGATTACTAATGACCTAAAATGGCAGATAGCTACATAATGAGCTAAAGTGGCAGATGGCTAATGAGCTGAATTGGTAGATGGTTATTGAGCTAAATTGGCAGATGTCTATTGAGCTAAATTGGCAGATGTCTATTGAGCTAAATTGGCAGATGGCTATTGAGCTGAATGGGCAGATAGCTTATGAACTAAAATGGTAGATGGCTATTGAGCTAAGTTGGCATATGGCTAATGAGCTAAATGGTCAGATGGCTTGTGAGCTAAAATGGTAGATGGCTATTGAGCTAAATTGGCATATGGCTGATGAGCTAAAGTGGCAGATGGCTATTAAGCTAAATTGGCAGATGTATATTGAGCTAAATTGGCAGATGGCTATTCAGCTACATCAGCAGATGGCTACCAAGTTAAATGGTCGGATGGCTATTGAGCCATTTGCCCTGTGTAGACATAAAAGGATTTTTAGTTCCTGAGCGATTAAGCTTTCTTGTAACGGCCTGGTGCCTGAAGGTTTGCCATGCTACAAACTTGAGGCTGGCGAAGGGCCTTCCATTGATGGATTTGCATCAGGCGAGTAGAACTGCTTCTGCTAAACCAGCGATATTGAGTTTGCTGGAGTGACTTGAATGTGATGCTGAACGTGTCGTCTGCGGCGGCTTGAATGTGATGCTGAACGCGTCGGCTGCGGCGGCTTAAATGTGATGCTGAACGTGTCAGCTGGAGTGGTTTGAATGTGATGCTGAACGCATCGGCTGCGGCGGCTTGAATGTGATGCTGAACACGTCGGCTGGGGCGGCTTGAATGTGATGCTGAACGCGCCGGCTGGGGCGGCATAGTTCTGTTTTGTTCATTTTTCTTTTGTATAGTTTATCTTACTTTAGCTTAGTTTAGCTAAGTTCATCTTAATTCAGCTTAGTTTTGCAAGGTGAAGTACAAGATGACAACTTCTGTTTCGATTATTAGACGATTCTTGCTTGTTATTAGCCTTCTTACAGGAGTCATATAACTGGTCTCTTGACAAGATCTGTTAAAACTGATGCTCTAAAGCTCAAAGATTCCTAGCATTTAGTTCACCAGCCAGGAAGTGCTTCTAAAGAGTTTGTTTTATTTTTATTTATTTATTTTATTTTACTTTTTAAAATTTTATTTACGATTTTTTTTTAAATTTTATTATTATTTTTTTTTAATTTTAGTTTGATCGTGCCTGAAATTCAATTTCTTTCATCTAGGGTAGGTAGATGTTAACTAATGTAATGATTGACTTGCGTTTGTATTTTTTTTACTTAATTTATGTTATTTTGTTGTCACTTCCACCATTACCTGGGCCTACTTGTTATTAGTCGTTAATTTAAATTGCAGGCGACACTTTTCATCCGATTTATTGTCGCAATGCTTTGTTCAGATTGAATAAATGAAATTTGGAATTGCCGTGGCTACTTGGCTCAGATGCTCTGCGCAAAGAGCTATTATAATACGAGACAAGAAAGTAATTTTCGTATGTATGCCTGACGCAGGCTAGCTCTGGCTAAGTGGCTGCTCAGTTTTGGAGATGTAAATTAGGTTATTGCATTTAGTTATCGTAATGGCTTCCCTAATTTCAACATAAAAAAAGCGAATGGACGTACATAATTATAATAGAATATTTGCTTATATTGTTACATATAACATCAAGTCAAACGAGAAATTACACATATTCAAATTAGAGTCTAATTCGTAATCATTCAATAGCGGTTTGCTTGTGAATTATTTGTAATGAAAAATTCTGTATTCTTACTTACCAAAAATTCGACTTAGGTTTGCGGTAAAATGTTACAGTCAAACCTCGTATATATCGTAATTTATGACACATTTGAAGGAAGCTACCATGAATCAGCGCTAATTCCGCGGCCACTGTGCGCCGTGGTCCATGCGACCGAATTTCGTGACCCTGCAAAATGAAGAGGCGGATGTTTGCTGACGCTGCAGTTTAGTTTGGCAATTTAGCCACCATTGGGCTATGACCTCGACCACTATTTTGGCTACCGTTCCGACCACTATTGGACTAGAATCTCGACCCACTATTTTGGATTACAATCTCGACAACTATTGGACTACAATCTCGACCTACTATATTGGACTACAATATCGACACTATTAGACTACGTTCTCGACCACTATTGGACTACAATCTTGACCCACTATTGGACTACAATCTTGATCCACTATTGGACTACAATCTTGACCCTCTATTGGACTACAATCTTGACCCACTATTGGACTACAATCTCGACCCACTATTGGACTACAATCTCGACCCACTATTGGACTACAATCTCGACCCACTATTGGACTACAATCTCGACCCACTATTAGACAACAATCTCGACCCACTATTGGACTACAATCTCGACACTATTGGACTACAATCTCGACCCAATTGGATAAATATTCCGTCTCTAGCAAGACCGACTACTTTCAGTTCCGACCGACCGATTAAAAAAAACGATGCTGTGACAGTGATTTTTAAATGAATACATTTCACACTTGAAGTCCTTTTGGTTCAATTTTAGGAACCTAAAGTGCTTTTAAAAATGGGCTGAGCTATTTATAATATAGTCCGAGATGGTGATAGCAGCAAAGAATATAAGCGTTCTTCTAAAGAATAACAGAAAAAAAACATACAGAATAACCCTACTCGTTCACTTGAAAATATCCACTTTATTTGAATAGATAGTCGAATTACCCGAATTAAATGGCCGTGTGCAGTAGGTATAGAGAAAGCTCTACGTTCTATTTGACTAATACATTGTATAATATATTTTTTAAAATATTAATGACAGTAAACCAGGCATTTGGAGCAAACTATTTCCTGCTATATTCTCATTCTGTTTAGAATTTGAAGCAACAGAAACCGGCAGACGTAGTTGAGAAATAGGGGAATGAATTTGCTGGTGAATTAATTCTATTATGGTAGGATGATTGGCCCAATATTGGAGCACAATTGGGACATGATTAAATCACAACTTTACCGATGTTGAACCATAATTGGACTACAATTTCACTAAAACTGGACCATAATTTTGCCGTATTTATTCATAATTAGAACATATTGGGACCATGATTGAATTGAACTGTAATTGACCATAATTGAACCATAATTAAACTACAATGTTCAGTGACGAGGCAGTGGAGGGTAGACGCAATCGTCGCCCTGGTGCGTTGGCTCGAATATGTTGACGTCGATGTTGTTGGTGGTGAACACCGCCTCTGCTGCTGCCTGTGGTGGTGATGATTGTCAGTGATGATAATTGCCAGTAATGATTGATAATTGCCGGTAATTATAATCGTAAGTAATGATTGATTATTGCAAACAATTATGATTGCAGGTAATGATAATTACAGGTACTGATAATTGCCAGTAATTATAATTGCAAGCAATGATTGATTATTGCAAACAATTATGATTACTGGTAATGATAATTTCCAGTGATGATATTTGCCAGTAATGATAATTGCAAGTAATGATGATTGCAGGTAATAACAATTGCAAGTAATGATTGATTACTGCAAGCAACGATGATTGCAGGTAATGATAATTACCAGTTATGATAAATAGTAATAATGATCATTAGCAGTAATGACAATCAGCAGTGCGTAATTATGTCATTCGTTGAAGCTATTAATCAGAGACTTATACACGAATCATATTTATTCAATCGGTAATAAAGATTGTTTTATTATTACTTCTAGCTGCATCACAAGTTGATGGAACTTGAATTTATTTATGGAAGTGACTTTTTGGAATAATTAAAATTATTTAATTGAATTTTGTAGCACTTTTTTAATATATTTTTATTTAATTTCATGAGTGGAGTTGATTGCATAAAAAGCGACTAGTAAAGTGTTCAGAGAAATTACGCTCTCGTCTCGTTCACCGATGTGTCAAGACAAGAGCTCTACCTCCGACCAGCTTAGCTAAATGAAGTGTTAGGGCAGTTCCTTCTTGTTCTTTGTATCCGATTTACTTTCGAAAAATTTTCAATTATTTTACTAGTATATTTGTAACAGATTTAGTTGCAGTTGTCTGTTTCAGTTTATACTCATGTAAGTCTGATCACCATAGTTTTTATTCCTCTTATTCAATTGCGGCTAGTAATTTTTGTATATTACTGAACATTATATTCATTACCCTTCGTTATATTTCTGTGGAAAAACGATTCTAAATGTTCTAAAGTGTATATAATGATGATAAAAATTTCATCTGATTTCTTTGTGCCACATTTTTTTAATACGGTTTTCATAGTTTAAGGCACAATTTTTCTATCGCTGACTAGACTAATGGAACCTTTATTGCTTCAAGGGATACTTTTTTCACTCTGTTACATGTTTACTTTGACCGTTTTTCAAATTTACTCTGCTAAAGTATATAATAGTTTAATATGACCGTTATTCTAATTCTTTCAAAACATGCATCGGAAAAAATAAATTTATAAATATATTTGCTCAAAAGTTACTCTACTTACCAGGACATCGGGAGACAGTGTGGGAGTGCGGGAAAAAACCCAGGCAAACTGATCACGAAACTCGCCGAGCTGAAAAAATCAGTCGTTAAATTTCGATAGTCAATTGTACAATCGATAAGAAGTTAGAGAAATAAGCATAAGGAGGTTAAAAATGTTATTCTTCAGAGTTAAGATCAAATTAACATTTTTCCGTGATTTGGATTCCCACTGTTATAGAAATGTGCGGGGGTGTTTCTTTCTGACGAACCCCCTTTCATAATATTTTAATATATGACCTCAGGTTAGCTCGGCAAGTTGTAATGACCAGGATTAATGAGGCACAAAGTGAAGATTAACGGGATACTTGTCGATCTATGGAGTATAGAAAGCTTACAGTTTATGGGAATATAGATTGGAGTTTGAGGTTGACACTTTCTGACTAAGGCTCACGACTCGAAGGGGAGCGAGTCGAACGTATATGCTGTTGTTCTCGGTTCTGACTGACTTCCTGGTTATGTCAGAGACCTATAAAGGTTCGCTATTTGACGTAACTAAGAACGTGAGTCGCTACCGGGATAAACAATGAAATGACTAACACAAGGAAGTGTTATGAATAGTCCGGAATCAAGGAGATGATTCAAATGAGGAAATTAATGCCTCAGGTCAAAACCATTGTCATCTGACAAAGGAATAATATTACAAACGAACCGTGGATTCTGGAAATACTGATAAAAAAATCTCATGAGCGCATCGTTCTATGCTTTCAAGTCTCACTCATTTCTCTGAGTGTAACTTCCACTTTTATATTTGAATTAAACAAAAAAAACTATCGCGTTAGTGTGCATTTTTGTATCCAATGTGATCTTTGTATCCAATTTACTTGCAAATTTTTACACATGAATTTATTTGCAAATTTGTAACAGATTTAGTTGCAGATGTCTGTTTCAGTTTACTCCTGTAAATATGGTCACCAAAGTTGTTAAATGGGTCACCTGATCGCAAGAGTATGCGCAGTAGTAGGCGTCGTAGTCGATGCCTATGACGTTGTAGACGCCGAGGCCCACCGGCGGCGCTATGACCACAAAGTGGCCAGGAGTTGCGGTCTCTATTCCCTCCCACTCCGATGACACCACCGAACCATTGGCGGTCAGACCACTGTTAACGATGCTGATGTTGCCGTTAGCTGCCATGTGAACATAAGTTTGAGTTAGAAGCGTACACTGTTCGAAAAAAATTAGATCAGTACTCATTGCAGTGAGTGACAGAGAGCGCATTTTCTCGTCCGTCCGTGACTTCACGTCACGGAAGGACGGACATGACGAGCACAATAGCGCCTTTTTTCCATAAATGATAAATCACTAAAAACGGAAAAGAACTGTCTCACCGGCGTTCAAGTGGCCGGTCGACATGTGAAAATAAACTGTTAACTGTTTTTTTCTGATGGTTTTTATGGGTTTCTAGTGTTAAGTTTGAATAAAAACGGCAGTAATGTGTTACTTTTCACGTATCGGCCGGCCATAGAACGCCGGTGAGACCGTTTAACAGGGATTTTTCTTAAATTGTAAAACACCACTCTTACAGTTATTTAGACATGCCTACAGGATTGTATAAGGCCACAAGGAGTGCAAGGAGAGTTTGTGCAGGATATCCCCATTAAGTAACACAATTTTGGTCAAATTTCAATCGCGAGTCAAATTTCAATCTCAATAAGTACTTACGTTCGCTTAACGAATTTTGAAAGTATGGCCCCAGGACCAGGGCGGCGAAGACGGCCTGCCTGCCTAGGGGTACTAAGGTGGTGTTCCTTACTGGCCTGGGACTGCTGCGTCCGAAACGCTTACCAAGGATGCGTAGGATACGCGTATGATACCCACACGCTGGCCGATTTCATGGCCATAACTGTCACTTACATGCGGTCACTAGCAATAATACATTCGTTTTTAAAAAACATGCGTCATAAAAAATAATAAATTTTGAATTATCGTAACGAACGAACAATTTCCGGACGCGCTGGTCGAGAGTTGCTCTCCTTCCAACTTGTTGAACGTTGAATTAGTTCAGCGATGTAACTTATTGATTTTCTTCCCCTTATTTCATTGTTCAAATATTCTTGCTTGGAGAAATGAATTTCAAATGTTCAATTAGTCTATCGATGCCCTAATTTTATTTCTAAAAAAATTTATAAAAAATTTTCTCTAAAAACGTACCAGGAAAGCAAAAAGAGTGACCCAGTATTTAATATTTTAAATGAATGAAATAAATTATGTAAGCTCACTTATTTTATACTGAAAATTTTCATCCTCAATGGCCAAGTGAACTGAGAGAAATTCCCAAGAATTATGCATCACGTGTTGTAGGTAGTTTCTTGCGCAATGTTGAAAAATAAGCTTAATTTTAAACCAAAATAGAATGATTCAAATCCAGAAATCGAAATTAAAATTTATATAATGAGCTTGAGAACTTGAAAAATGCAGTTCAAATTTACATTAACGTGATTAAAATATGAATAAATAATGAATAGCAGCTACTCATACACCAACACTCACGCAGTTGGCCGTAGTCCGCAGTGCTGCATGACAGTCCCGCCTCCAGACTGCCGGGGAACTTCTCGATCTCATACCACCGGCCGAGATACTGTGCACCGTATAATTACTATAATTATTGTAGTGCACCGTATAATTACTGTTAACCAAATTATTGTAGTGCACCGTATAATTACTGTTAATCAAATTATAATAATGCACCGTAAAATTACTGTTAACCAGATTATTATTATAGTGCGCCGCATAATTACTGCTGACCAAATTATTATAGTGCACCGTAGTAATTACTGCTCGCCAAATTATTATAGTGCACCGTATAATTACTGTTAACCAAATTATTATAGTTCACCGTATAATTACTGTTAACCAAATTATTGTAGTTCACCGTATAATTACTGTTAACCAAGATCCAACCTAGTTTCCAGTGGGAGAGCTTCCAACATATGTAGTTTATCCCGATGGAAAGTGAAAAATTCACAAAACTGGATAGTGAGATAGTGAGAAATTCACAAAGTTTGTTAAAGTCAATAAAAATTGACAAATCAAGGCCACTGGGTTTTGTCAGAAAAGCTAATAATCTACCCCGAGAAAACGTAAAGATTAGCCCCCTACCAATAAAGGCAATTACTTCACAGCCAAATCTAACTAAGCCAACTCAAAACCTATTACAAACAGAATACAAAATGGAATATCAGCGTTTCATACTAAAATTCCAGTAAATGAAAACAGGATTCCGTCCTAAACCATAACGACTATCGTTAGATGAATTCCACACTCGTGATCTGCATCATTACATTAGAGTCGAGATTCAGGCAATTTCGGGGAGCTTAGCCAGCGATCTACGAAATGTAGGTGTCACTCGTTATTGATGACAATTTTCCCCGTCAAATCCTGGCTCCAGCAATATCTCCAAAACCTGGACAAATAAATCAGCTGCCCAGCTCCACCTGCCACTTCAGCGAGATCAACGAAAAATAACTTTGCGATAATGCATGAACAACCACGGATAAGTTGACCATGACGTACAACAAATTTAGTTAAATACTGATTCTCAGATACACTTTAGCAACTCCAAATAAGATCACAGTATTGAACTTCAGTGATCATACCGAACGCTGAGCGTTAAAATAACAGTAGCGAATGCAACGCGTGAACCTGAACAAAACACGGTACTCAGTGACGGTAGTACAGCACAGCTGCAGTAACTGTACCCCCTCATCTATGGCTACATCAACTGTTCTCAATGTTATTAATATTTTAAAACTAATAACTTAAGTTATTCCTTCCCGGTAGGCAGATTGATTAATTTCAGTTAATCTCATTAGGCTAAGGGCTAATTAGTCTCATTTGATCGTTCCTACTTCAGCCTACCAGATAAAAACTCTCTGGTCTGGGTAGCAGTGTGTGCTTTTTTTCAGTGTCTGTTGTCAGATGTGCCTTTTCCGGCCAAATTATTTGATTTGGTCATTTTTACAATTGAGTTAGCGGGATAAAATATGAAAGCTTTAAACCTAATGTAATTTTTAAGGTTCGAAAACAAAACACAATAAAATTTAACTGTGAATAGTAAATTTACTAATGAATTTAAAAACGAATTTGCTCTGGCCTTCTTTGTGAGTTAATTTAGCCGTTTTCTTTTGGAACCCTTGGATGACAAACCATTTAGTAATCTGTCATGTTGCAATGTGCTAAGCATTTTTTATTTTTTTTTAGTTTTTGTTCGGCTTATCGTCTTCAAGTTGTCTGATTTTACCTTTTTAATGTTCGTTCAGTTAAGCTGACAGTGTAGGCATTGACATTCTAATTCCCATCCGTATTTCATGCTATAGTACGTTATTCATTCATTTACACATTTTAATACGTAATTCAGATTTTAATAAGTTGTTTCATGCTTTAATATATTTGACAGGCCTGCGCTACTGAGCGGCCATTGCTGCTGGTATTATGCATTTTGCAATGTTATCTCAATGCATGATAAATATTCTTCCCCTACAAAACGAAAATTTTATAATTGGACTAGATGAAATAGCACATCTCGAATAATTGCCTGGATTGAGAAGGTTGCTCATTCCGGAGAGACGTTCTCTTACCCTTGCATAAATTATTGCATATGATATAGCAAGTAATTGCATATGATCTAGTGTAATGCCAGAAAAATCTACTCGCATCATCAAGATTGGCCAGAAACGGCAAATATTGCTAGTTCATCATTAATCTCTTATGCAGTGTAGTGGAATTAATACTTGTCAATTAATTTTTTCAGGTTAAAACGCTTGTTGGAAAATTTTTCAGTCTAGTCACACCGGTTGATTTTAGTGGAAACCCTGATATATGTGTCATATTGCTTAAATATGAGACGCCCATCCTTAACACGCAAAAAAACGCACAACTTATTTAAATTACTTCAAAAATGCCATGTAAAAATAATGAAAGATAAATCAGCATTGAAAGAGCACTGTACAAATCGAAATAATAATCGAAATATGAAGCTGAAAGTGTACCTTACTTGCACCAACCTCTTCATGATGCGTCCCTGTGTAATAATGACTGTGTTATGTATGCCGGCTCAGCCTTTATATTGAATTGCTCACACAGATGGCATTTTCTGCGCTTATCGTTGACACTCAAATATACGTGAGCTTAGCTCCAATTACGAATTCCCCTCTTTCTGCGACTCAGGAAACTGGACGCTGTTATGATTTTTCATGAGCTCGGTTATCCCGATTTATTTTTTAAATTTACTTTTCTTGACGATTTAATCTTTTCCATTGAATCCTCCACGCCACTCTACGTTGCGACAATGGTTGCTGAAATATTAAATTTATATGTAATTGACGCCTTGCGCCAACGTTTATGATTGTTGAAAACAACTTTGGAAACTGAATACAGAATTTGTATTTCTTACTCGAGTGTCGAGAAGTCGAGAGTTTCAAAAAGAATGAATTTGTTAAAAGGGATTACTGTTAATCCCAGAAGCGACCAGCCAACAGTATTCACGTTTTGTTTCTTTTTATTCGCGGATTTCATCGTCACTAAATTGCCAGTGAAAACTCGATTGAGTTGCTAAAAGCACTCCGGAAGCTCCTGTCCACCTGGCATCTGACGATAAATCAATGTTGATCCTAACATTTTTACGGCAAATTTACGTCAATTTAAATGTTTTTCAACGTTATTTGCCTGCTGTTGAATATTGTTTTAACGTTATTGCCACTCCGTGTACTTAAGCCGCTGTGTTTACTTAATTTTTAGGTCGCTACGTGCACTAGGGCCATTACTTATACTTACACCGCTACGTGTTCTTAGACTGGTAAGGGTACTTAGGCTGCTACGTTTATTTAGGCCACTACATGTGCTTAGGCCGCTACGTGTACTTAGGCCGCTACGCGTACTTAGGCCGCTACGCGTGCTTAGGCCGCTACGTGTACTAATGCCGCTACGTGTAGTCAGGCCGCTCCGTGTACTCAGGCCGCTACGTGTACCAAAGCAAGTTTTGATAGCACTGTACCAGGTCAGTTTATCCACCCCTATAGTTCCACCCTACCCTCGAGTGTTACTCAGGTCATTGCTATCACTGATGACAAGCCACCTGTACTATCAATTTATTTAATGGTCAGATGTAAGGCTCTCAGCCTTCGTCTACGAGAAGCAGATTACGAACAATTCACGATTGGAAATTAAAGCAGCACTAGCGCCAGCTAATGGCCGGTCATTCGTCGGCCGCCTATAAACAGTCTTTAATTATTAATTCTTGGCTGTAATGGGGGATGCTGGAGTAAATATGGTAGCATATCATTCATGTGTGATTGAATAACTAATAATCACGTGAATTGTTTGAAAAGAATAGTTTTGGAATTTATTAGTAGTTTATTTTTTAGGTAGCCAACCTCACTCAAGACTCACATTTATCAATGATTGGGACCCTAACATTTGTATTCAAGTTTGGAATATTTTCAATTGGAATTTCATTTGACTGCACGCATGTCCTCTCTCTTAATAATATTTTATCTAATTTTGAGATGTATTATTTTTACTCTTTATTAACAAACAGCGAGTTACACGTCATAATGTGAATTAATCCTTTGGTTTCAACCCATGAAGTTTGAATTAATTCAAAAGTGTTGTCTCGTGACCCCAAAAGACTCGGTTGCTTGAGTGTCAGCCTTTTAACCTATCACTTAGAAATTGTCTGAATCTAAATTGATTATAAAAATAACTAAGAAATCTTGTGTTGAGGAACTTCATAACTATTGTCAAATTTTTCCCATTCGAAATATGAAAATTACTTTGCGAGTTAAAAACTTGGGGCGACGGTCAACATATTAATTTTTTCTTTGTTTTTCAGTCAACGATCTAACAGAACATTTTTCGTTATTTATGCCTGTTTTTTTATTATGAAAATATAAATAATTCTGGAATGTCAGGAAAATCTTTATTTGGAAAAATTTTCACTAATGAATTAAACTATACTGACAATTTCAAATGCACATACAACTTTTTTCAATGTCTATACTCGACCAAAAGTTTCTCGCACCCTAAGCGACGCTCTATTTTCTTTTTCAATCATGAATTTCATTTTTGATAAGTCGCCATCAGCCACGCCGGCGGCTCCCGCGCCTCCTACAAGTGCCGGGCGTCCAACCGCGCCGGCACAGCCATCTCAACCTCAGCAACCGTCATAACGGGTGAGTTCATGGTTGAATGCTTCCATTTTCACCACCATCATCACGGGAGATTTTGCGGTTAAAAGCCACCACCATCATGACAGGTGAGTTCACGGTTGAATGTCACCACCTTCGCCGCCGTCATCACGGGTAAGTTTATGGTTGGATGCTGCCACCTTTACTACCGACATCACCGGTGAGTTTATGGTGCAGTGCCGCCATCGATCACGTGCCATGTCTATATTGAAGAATGTTTTGTCTTTCATGACGTTAAGTGCTAATTTCAAATTATTTCAGATAATAAGTTATCGTATGTAAAGCCTTTTGATTTTTGAAAAAATTTTCTTCGTTCACGGAATTTCGAGTGGAATATTTGTAACAAAACTAAATTGAGAACTGAGCACTTGTCAGCGATCTTTCAGCCC